AATGCATCAAGACTAGAAAGTGGGAGGCCTTGAGTTCTAGTCCCACCTCAGCCATGAAAGCCTGCTGGGTGACCTTGGGCCAATCACCCTCACTCAGTCCAATCTACCTCAAAGGCAGGGGCGAGCTTCAAAAATTTTAGCAAGGGGTTCTCTACCCGGTAGCTGGGTGGGTGTAGCCATGGTGGGCATGGCCTAGTCAGCCTCCTGCACCACAGCAGGGGGTGTGTTTTCACCCTCCCCAGGCTCTGAAGGTTTTCCTCAAGGTCCCGGGAGGGCAAAAATGGCCTCCTTGGGCTCTGGAGCAGTGGTGGGTTCCAGCCGGTATGGCCATACTGTTAGTAGCTGGGAGCAGCGGCCACCGTACCTGTATGGTGGCTCGTTTGCCCCACCCACCCATCTGCTTTCCATACCTGTTTTTAAAGCTACCAGCTAATTGTGCATGCACGTACAGTGTGCGGTGCCTGTGCAGTCTGTGACAAGCAACTGGGTGTCGCAGGAGCAATGGAGTGCGTATGCGCGTGCAGTGTGCATGCCCGAGAAGGATGCCCGGCCCTATGCGCAGTGTACCGGTAGCAACGGGGAGAGGAACCCAACACTGTTCCAGAGGCACTCGGGAGGCCAGAAATTCCAGTAGGCCCATTTTTCACCCTCCCCGAGCCTCTGCCTGGGCCTTGCACTTACCTGCATCCAAAACAGGCTGCGTGGGGACTCCTGGGAGGGAAGGGGAGGGGTGGGCAGGGCCAGCCAGAAGTGGGATTTTGTGGTTCTGTGAAACTCACAGAATCTTAGCTAGAGGTTAACCCTTACAAACCCCTAGCAGCCCACCCCTGCTAGGGTTGTTGTGGACAAAATAGGAGAAAGGTGTGTTGAATAGTTTTACCACATGGACTTATGGGGCAGTCCTTGAAGAGCATTCGGAGACTTCAGCTCGTCCAGAATGCAGCCACGCAAGTGATTGTGGGTGCACCTCGGTACACCCACGTTACACCTATCTTCCGCGAGCTGCACTGTTACCGATTGGTCTCTGGATGCGCTTCAAGGTGCTAGTCGTCACTTATAAAGCCCTTCATGGTATTGGACCTGGGTACTTGAGAGACCGCCTGCTGCCAATTACC